AACTTGTATATTTTGTTTTATATCATCTATATTTTTATATAAATTATCCCGTTCTTGCAATCTATAGTCACAAAGTTGTTTTATCGATTCATTTGTATATGTCAATAATTGATCAAACTTCTGAGATATATTGTTATTTAAATGCTGTAAATTCTTTACAATTTCTGTATTATTAACTTCTATCAAATTATTAATTTTCGATGCCAATTTTAAAGACAAGTCATTCAAAAATGTGTGTTCATTTTGAGTCGTGTCAGATGAACGTTCTATTTCTGCATCTAGCCACTGGTAATAGTATTTATACTAAACAGAAAAATTTATCGTATACATCTTTTTTTATATTTTTACATTTTAGTTTTTTACTTTTTACATTTTATATTTCATGTATATAACTCACCGAATCGTTTATATTTCTTGTAAATTCTTCTATTGCTGTCTTTTCTTTATTAACAATATCATTTGAAATATGGCAAATTATTGAATCAATATCCTTTTTGAATAACTCCATTTGTGATTCTATAAAAATATAAATATAAAACATTTTATTTATCATACATACATAGTATAAGTGCATGCTAATAATTTTTACCTACCGACATTATTTTTCATCAAAGTACAAAACCCCATAAATTTCTGTGTATGAACTGTAATATCATTTTCCACATCTTGAAACTGTTTTGCAATATTACTTCGGAACTGATGACTAATGTGTTCGTTTTCCTGTTCTAATTGCCTGTGTGCATATTATATGTATTTTTAAATAATTATAATATCATAAGATAAAATCGACATTGATATTATATTATATATTTAATAATAATAATTTTATATATAGTATTATATTATAATTAAATAATATGAAAAATAAAATGATTACCTCTTCAAAGAAATTTTATCTTGAAGTTTATTTACATCAAACGTTGCTGCATCAGCTACATCTAAGAGCTTTTGTGCTTGTGATAAAAGTTGTTTTTCTGTAGATGCATGTTTTTCTACTAAATAACATTGCTCCTCCTTCTCACGTTCTGTCATTTCTAAAAGTACTGTAGTCGATTTCAAAACATGCGATGTAGTTTCTAATTGTTCCTTGGTTTCATGAAGATGGTTAGTTTGCTCAACATGCTTTGCTTGTAAGTCGTTGAATATTTGCTAAACAAAAATAAAATTTAGGATAATATTAATTATTATAAATTATTGTATAAATTAATCAATATGTTTACTTCTTTAGCTTCCATAGTTTCTTTAAGCACTTTAATGTGAGTTATTTTTTCTTCAATTTCCTTAGTCTGATTTTCAATTAATGCTTGCATTTCATTATAATTCTCTTGTGCCAAATATACGCCATTTCGTTCACGCGATGCTAACAAATCTCTTCTTAGTCTCTCGATTTCTTCTGTATATTCTTTAAGTAATGCTTTTTTAGATAATTTTTGATTGATTTCAGGGCGATTTGTGATATTTTTGGCGCGATGAGCATAATCTAATGTCGATAAGGTTTCTTCAAGATTTATGCTTGCTGAAGACACTGTTGCGATAATTGAAGTTTTTGTACGTCCACCTAATGATTCTTGCAGAAGTCTTGTTAATTTTGATTCCCTAATCAAGATAAAATACAAAAAATAGTTTAGATATATAGTTTTGTTATAAATTATCATAAATTATAAATTTTAATATTAATTTTTTCATAAAATTTCTATTTCCAAAATTATATTAATTATAATGCAAACTTTGGTATTACCGATATGGTATGTGAGGTGCTCTTTCAACAAGTGCTGTTATAACTCTACCAAGAGTCAATAATGATTGATTTATATTTCCTGCTTCTCTTGCTCTCCTATCAACCGCACCAGATCTTCCAACATTTTCACTTCCGGCTAAATCTACCAAGTTTAATTTCCCAGTTTTTAGAAGTTCTTCTCCATCCACATTATTCTCTTTTATATGGACAGTAATTGAAAATACTGTATGGGAACGGCTAAAAGTATAAAAGATATAAAAGATATATAGATGACATACAATTTGATATTTTAAAAAATAAATAGATATATAATTTAAAACAGCAACCTTGAATGAGCATTCATTAAAGTTGCAGCTGTTTGTCTTCTCTCCGATCCCTTTTCTAGAATCTTGTAAACTTCATTTTTATTGTGTACAGTTACCTCTTCTAATCCATGAATGATTACTGAACCTTTTCTTGTAGAATCTTCATAAAGTCTATAATCGTTAAAATCACATGTATTGATATATTTCTCATATTTTTAAAAATAAGAATATATAAGAATAAGATAAATATGTTACCTTATTTTAGATGCGTCATCATTTGGCGATAGCAAGTCAAATAATTCTTCATTATACAATTCAAGAAAGCTAACTCGTACTGTGTATTCTTGTACTTCCAATAAACGTAACTCATCAAACAGATGACTCAATGCACGAGGTATAATTCCTGCTGTAGTATCCTAAATAAATTTAAATTAAATCTAAATTTAATCTAAGTTAATTTTTTTAATGTAATAATATTAAAAATATTTTGTTATGACTCATAATATAATTTTTAGCAACATTTAATACTACTAATAATACCACTTTATACAACTCACACTTTGCCAATGCAATGTTGGATCAGTGCTGTTACCTTCCATAGTAAATGTTTTACCAGTACCAGTTTGGCCATAAGCAAAAACTGTACAGTTATATCCAGCTAATACTTCCTCGAGCAACGGGTTGACAACTGCATTATATACATCTACCTATAAGCCACAATCATTCATTTCAGCAAATGTTTATATTATATCTAAAATAAAAATTTTAATTCTATGATCTAAAAATATTTCATATTTTTACCTGTTTTGAAGATGGTCCAAATACTTTGTCAAATGTAAATTTTTTTGAATGATTGCCTTGTTGTCTTTCATGTACCACTACTTCTTTATTAGATGGTAATTCTAATACAGAAATAGATCTTCCAATTTTCTCATTATTGTTTATTGGTCTATTAAAAAAAAAATTACTTCATGAAGATAATGAGTCAATATCAGCACACAACGAAATAAAGAAATGTCAATACTTGAATAAATGTATAATCTTTAAATGAAGTCTAATCTTTAAATGAAGTTAATAAAAAAATCAAGATTTGCAAACAAAGAATTTTCGGGACTTTTCAAGATTTTTTCGCAAATTAGGAAAAATATAATATCGCTTCTCATTATCCACAGAGAATTTTAACTTCTCTTGCAATAATATGTCAGCGTCATGGATAGTTGGTGTTGCTTACCTGACGCGTACGAAAACCTGTATATGCTGATTTTTATCCTTCTTCGAATTGCGTATTTCATTCATCTTGAATAGCTTCTCGTGTAATTATTTCTCGCTGACACAATACGATACACGACTAGTATGATCTCACGATCAACGATAGCGCGTTTTATTTCGCGTTCATTTACTGTTTGTAAACGCCACACGGCAGAAGTCAGCCGTTAAAGAATTTAAATTCAGATGCTTCGCGCGATCACCACCAGGTGACTGTGTGTGAAATCGCATTATTTGGCGACAACCAATCATCAGACTTCTTTTTTCCTTTAGCGTGTTCATTGGTCATTCTTTCTCATGATTCTAAAGTCTGTTCTTTAGCTGAACTTTCTGCACTATTTATCTCTCCTCTTTTTTCCTCTAACAGAGAAAAAAAGGAAAGATGAACGTTAAAAAAAAGATGAAAAATGATAGAGCAAGATGGTCAATTAAAAAAATAGGCTTCTCATAGTAAAATATCATATATAACATGCTATTTATTTAAAAAAATATATGTATATATAAAATTATGCATTCGGATACAGAAATAAATTAAATTTACGCTATATTTAATTATAATTATTTAAGTATATTATGAATAAAAAATAATTCTTGATCAATGAACACTTGTTTATAATTTGTAATTTTTATAAATTTAATTTAATCTTATATGTATAGATTTTTTTATATTTACTTCATATTTTTACTTCATTCTCCTTTCTTAACTTTAAATATGTTGGTAAATATAGACAGTTTTTAAATATATAAAAGTATTATGTGTAATCAATTATGCAATAAAATTGCTATCAATTATAAAATTAAATTTATATAATTATAACCCAAATATATGTCTTTTATAATATTTCAGTTCATCAATACTCTCTCTTATATCATCTAAAGCCCTATGTCTCAATCGTTTTCTTGGTATTGATTTATACACATCTGGATTCCACCGCCTAAAAATCATAACATTTCAGTTATATTATTGCACTCTAATCATTCTAAATATTAATTATGGAGGAGAGATTCTATCGGTGTTATAAACACACATAAAATACAGCAAAGTTTGTTAACAAAACATAATGACAGATTGATGTCAAGCAAGCTATAGCATACTTAATATATAAATTGCATACTTAATACATAGTTTAACATACAGATTGACGATAGAAATCGGACAAGGTCAATTCTGTTGTCAATTTATTATTCAAATATATTAACAGACTCTGCCAACAAAGTATGATTTAAAATCTGCAGTTATAGATGATGATATTGGATCTGCATACATCTTGTACAATCGATTATTAATTTACTTTGATATATTTTGGACAGATTGCTTATTGAAATATTAATATTATTTTACACTATACATTAAAATCTCTCTGCCTAAGAAACATAAGAAATTGATTATTACTTAACAAGTTCCTTGACTGTACTAACGTCGATAATTCTGTAGTGCAAGTAATTGTTAACTGATGGCATATATTTATATAAAAAGAGACGATCCATATAGACTGTATTTCCAGCCAAAGGACATGAATCTTTTTCAGTATACTTTTTTAAAAAATTCAGCACTATATTCTCAGCCTCTTCGATTGTTATTGTACTCGAGCGAGATTTCTCAATTAACCCTGTCTAAAATATATTTCCATATATATTTATATAATTTAAACTATATTAGTTAATAAATGCAAACATATTTGTATATCTATATCAATTAAAAATTTACCTTCTTATGATTTTCTTTACACCATGCATTCATATTTTCTAATATTATATCTGATTGATGTATCACGATATTTAATTCTTCACTAATAATATTTAATTTTTCATCTGTTACGATACAGGCAATTTCTAATATATGGTCTTTATCTACTTCAAGTCCAGTCATCTGTAAAAATATTAGCAATATATAATTAATTTTTTCTAAATTTATTTCTGATTATTTTTTCTTATAAATTATTAAAGAAATATGTGACTTTTAACCATTTCATACCTCCATATCAATCCAAACAATATAGTTATTAGATCTGGATGCCATTTTATCTGTTAATATATCTGACAACAATATGTAAACGTGAAAAACCACAAAAAAATAATTATTGAAACAAATATTAAGAAACGATATCAATATTTATCACTTTATTCAAATCAATTCAATCAAATAATAAAATAATGACAAAGATTGAAAAATTTTTTGGCAATATAATTTTAAAGATAACCTTTAATCACAGATAATAATTACGATAAATTTTCTCTCATAGATAATCAAAGATGAACTGTCACATTTACACAGTCAGTGAACTCATGGACTAACTCCGTTCGATACTGACATATGTACATCACATTATGTGATTACATACACAATGTTTATTATATATATATATATATATACACACACACACACATACACAGATTTCATACACGTGTTTCTGAATGTAGCATTGAATTGTAATAGATAAATTGTAATAGATAAATTATATTTCTAATTCACTGTCAACACTGAAAATAAATAGATTGGAATTATGTTATGAATATTATAAATTTTTAATATTAATAGAGAATTTTACAACATAAAGCAAAAGATAACCTGTCCTAAGAAGTATGACAAATATTTGGTTTAAGGAATAAGAATAATATAAATAATATAAATATATAAATATTCATTTCTATCGATGTAGATTAATTTCAATCTCAAATTAATTTACTCTTTATTTATATCTAATTCTTAAAAATAAAAAAGATAAACTGAGATAAATTGAACTCAAAAGTTAATCTAGTAGAATGAACATAAAAATGTAATATTTTTAATAAATTTAGGAACTACATATTCTTTAAAAGTAAGATTTTGAAAATATCAAAATATCTTATCGTGTGATGAGTTTTCAAAAACTGAAAAAAAAAAAATAATAAACTAAACATATTCTCTTCAAAATATAAACATCGAAAACTAAAATATATAAAATCGATCAGATAATAGCACAGATTAAATAATAATTTTAATAAAGTTATTTATTTTTAATAAAAATATCAACTTTCAGTTTATAAATATATATGAAAAATAACATTAACAACAAGAAAACATAAGCGATAAGCGAACTGCTCCAAGCGAGAATCATCGAAAACGTAAAGCTATGTAACGTAGCAGGTGACGTCACGCAGGTTCTGGCACGTCATTGGTTACACGAAGCTAGTACGAAATGGTATAAAGGGCGATGCAGAACCTTGGAGCAAACCAAAACGAATCGGGACGCCGTAGAGTACGTGTATCGCTGTAGAGAGTTTCATCGTTTTCTATAACCGCAAACATGTCCGGACGTGGCAAGGGTGGCAAAGCTAAGGGAAAGGCGAAGTCCCGTTCTAATCGTGCTGGATTGCAATTTCCCGTTGGACGTATTCACAGACTTTTGCGAAAGGGAAATTATGCCGAGCGCGTTGGTGCCGGTGCCCCGGTCTACCTGGCCGCGGTGATGGAATATCTCGCTGCGGAAGTATTGGAATTGGCGGGAAACGCCGCGCGCGACAACAAGAAGACCAGGATCATTCCGAGGCACTTACAACTGGCCATTCGCAATGACGAGGAATTGAACAAGTTGCTCTCGGGCGTTACTATCGCTCAAGGAGGTGTCCTGCCGAATATTCAAGCGGTTCTGCTGCCAAAGAAGACCGAGAAGAAAGCTTAACTGCAGAGCGACGTCAAACGAAACGGCCCTTTTCAGGGCCACCATATTTTTCACATACGAAGAACATCCTGTTTACAATATTTCTTTATGTTATAATTTTTAGACGATTAAGTTCAATTATGCATTATCCGCTTATAACTAGATTTAATTTTTTATGACAACAATCAGGAAGTTATTATTCAATTTCCGTTATATTTTCGTAAGATTTTTCAATCGAATTATTAATATTTCTATATATATATATATATATATAATAAATAGATAGATAGATAGATTATATATATATATATATAAAATTTTAAATTGTTTAAATGTTATAGTTTGTAGACTACATTCTTCTGACTTCCGCGAGATCTCTTCAGCGGAAAAACATAAGATTAACGGTTATGATCGGCAAGTAAACAATAGATTTATTTTTTTTTAACTAAACTTACTTCTCCATGTTAGAGAAAAAAAGAGAAAATATGAATTATACAGAAAGTTAAAAAAAGTATATTTTTGTTAGTCTTCCTCTGGCATTTTTATCTAAAAATCGAGGTCCATATCTTCGAATTCTGAAACGAAGATAAAAGCAATCTTCAACGAGCCAAGTTTTGGACAAGTCTGATGAAAACAATCACATACTAAAACAATATTATTTTTTTCCATTTATCTTGTGTAACGAATTTGATCAATCTAAAAATTTAATACTTTTAAAGATTTAATACTTTTAATATATAATATTCTTTAAAAATCCTATAAACCGCCATTCTGTATCATTTTTATTCTTTCGTATTATCGTCTATCCATCGGCATCCATCTAACCAAACTTTCAACGTACTTACTAATTGCGAGTGACCTTTTACTTCATTTGAAGATCTCCGGAAAATTTTTCCTCAATGTTATTATCAAAATTCAACAAACAAAAAATCCGTCATGTTTAATTTAACATAATTTGGTTCAAATAATCTCACAACCTTTTTTTCAATTATTAATGCTTCTTTTCTTTCTTTTTATTTTATTTTCTAAATGTAAAATGATCAACTTTTATTGTCATAGTGAATTTCCGCATTTCCTATCCAGACTGCGCCACGATATTTTCAAAATATTCGATTGCAACGGGGCAACTAGGCAACTCGTAAAGGCGAATTAGAATTAAAAGAAATCAATTTAAATAAGAGACATATCAATCAACATTCCTCGACTCTTCATTCTAGTTGTCGATAGATTACAGAAAATTAGGAACTATCTTGACTTAATGTTCCCTGTTTTGTCCTTTTCCAAATCGAATATCCTTCCTCATTAGATTTCTGTTCATGCAGTTAAGTTTCTCTCCATAGACCCAGTTTCTCTCTCCGAAATAATATTCTTTTCAGTTCAAAACTTCTCTTATACAATTCATCTTTCTTTTCTTTCCATGTTGGAAAGAAAAGGAGGGAAGATAAATCGTGCAAGTCAGCTGAAAAAAAAACAGATTTAAATCCGGCTGTACGTTATTTTAGCTTTAAGCGAGACTTAACATATATCTGTCTTCATCTTTCTTTTTAAATAAATAAAGACAGACATATATTTAAGTCGTCAAACGTTAGTATTTGTATTTGTATAACGTTTGTATTTGGGCCTTAATGTAACATCCCCAATATATCCCTCCTCCTTTTCCTCCATACATTATATTATACCCACACACGACATATATAGTCTATTTTGTAGCTGAATCAGTCATATTTAAAATGAAATAGATATATATTTGAGGTTTAACGTAAAAGCGAGAAGGTTATAACGTAGTCCAGTGCAGGAACAGCTGTATAACGATTCTTCCATTACACGTGCGTTCTCCCCACCATTGCTCCAAGGACCAATCACAGCACGACGACCACAAGCAGATGCTATAAGAGATTTGTACAGTTATGGCGCAGCGTCACTCTTGACACGCAGGCAGTAGGGGACTGTTCGTTTGCTTGTAAAACCAACGAGAAACACATAATGGCACGTACCAAGCAGACCGCTCGTAAATCGACCGGAGGTAAAGCGCCTCGAAAGCAATTGGCTACTAAAGCCGCTCGTAAGAGCGCGCCCGCTACCGGAGGTGTAAAGAAGCCGCATCGTTACAGACCGGGCACCGTTGCCCTGCGTGAAATTCGTCGTTACCAGAAGAGCACGGAGCTTTTGATCCGTAAATTGCCGTTCCAGCGGCTTGTACGTGAAATCGCTCAGGACTTCAAAACTGACCTCCGGTTCCAGAGTTCCGCGGTTATGGCGCTTCAAGAGGCTAGCGAAGCTTACTTGGTAGGGTTGTTCGAGGATACCAATCTTTGCGCTATTCATGCCAAAAGAGTTACCATTATGCCAAAGGACATCCAATTGGCACGTCGTATCCGGGGCGAACGAGCGTAAATGCTAAAACGAAAAGTTAAAACGGTCCTTTTTAGGACCAACCATTCATTCGCGCGAGGAACACCTGTCATGTTTATCATACAAATATTTTTATTTTAAATAGAAAAATGTTTTATTAATAGAAAAATGTTTACTTTTGTGAAGCGAGAGATTGTCTTTAGATTTTTGTTAATTTTATTATCAAGCGCAATAAATGCGTTTGTAACACATGAGATAAATGCACGTTTACTTTAAAGCTGAGCTATTTGTCGATTTGTAAATACATTGTTTTTCACACAATGCGCATTACGATAAGGAACATTCCAGAAATTCTACCGTGACAGGATGTAGCGATTATTCTAAATGTGATATTCGAAAATTGGAGACTATCGCGTGACTTTTATTCGAAAGATTTTCTTCTCATGCAACATTATTCCATAAAAATCGGAATAATGTGGCAAGCGGGGTAATCTTTCAAGTATCGTATTCCGCCTTGCTGCAATCATTTCTGCATGAAGATAGATATGTAGAACGTGTACGGAATGAAATGTTTTTCAGCGATATATTTCCTAATTACAAATCACAAACACGCGATAAGAGTTATATTCAAGCGGGAATTTATTTAAAATTATAATCCATTTTGCAGAAAAAAATAGAGATAAAATTATAGTTTCTATTCATTCATTATTTATCGGCGTTTATTTTTCATACAACACACGTTAAGAATCGTTAACTATAGAATCGACAATAAAATATATTCGTGAAGAACCTCCATCGACAGAGTAGGTAGAAATTATTTTTTTGTTCAATCTCTTTTCTGCATTGAAATGTCGCGATCGTTCGAGAAAAAGAAAACGAGAAAACGTAAAAGGGGAATCGTCGTCGGTCGATTAGTTATTTCTACGGTTGAGAGAATAAACGCGCGTTTCGAAATGTTATTAGGTTTTCGTTTTGTCGTATTTTCGTGTGTCGAGTTCTCGGACTCGTGAAGCAGGGTAGAACCTGGTATGAAACTTAACGATCATGAAACTCTGTTATAGGCACGAACGCACGCAAGCATGCATGCACGCGAGCGGGCACGCACGCACGCACGCACGCACGCACGCACGCACGCACGCACGCACGCACGCACGCACGCACGCACGCACGCACGCACGCACACACACACACGCACGCACGCACGCACGCACAGCACGCACAGCACACACAGCACGCACAGCACGCACGCACAGCATGGCACGCACGCGGCCACGCACGCGGGAATTGTCGGCCGTACAGTTGAATGTACGCACGCGAGCACGCACGTACAGGCACATGCACGCATGCACACTCGGTTTCGCCTTAATGCGAGTCTACCGTGCGGCGGAACGACTTTGCCTTTCGATCCAACGCTCGGCCCGCGCTGTTTTCTTACGAGAAATAACGTTTCGTAGACGATTACGAAATAAACGTATAATGATAGTAATAATGGAGCGTCTATTCGCAAATTGGAGAAATATTCAGGACTCTTGAAATTTTCTGCTTCTTCTTCAAGAAATTATTGATTATTGTTTTTTATTATACGAGAAAATCTTATCATAATTATTTTAAGAATGGCATAAATCAAATTTTGAAATCTTTTTTTTTCTATTTCGGTTACTTTGTTCTCGTATGTTTTTTTTTTTGAAAGTTTTAAAGGATAAATGTGATACATTGCAGTATACATCGAAAGCGATAGTAGAATAGCAATAATTATTAAATGATGAAATTTATATATTACTATAAATAGTAATAAATAAATAATAGCATAATAGTAACAATTATTAAAGAGTTAATGCAATACTTTTATTAAGAGAGCATTTCAGTACATATAGTTTATTGGCTATTTCAACAATTGTAATTATTAATAAAATTATAAAAGTAATAAAAAATAACTTCAATTATTTTAAGTATCTACTTCACGTCCAAATAAAATAATCGCAACTGAAATAAAATAAATCTACATCTAAATCAATTTTAGATGATCTATAATTATGTTAGAGTTTAGAATAAAATTCTATTTATATTATACGAGAAAGAATGTTGTAGAGAATTCAAAAAAATGATCCAAAAATTATAAAAAAAATATGTATATATGTATATAATCTGAAGTCTACATCTTGCGAATCATTTAGAGCGAGTTTAAATCCTGATATAAATTCATATTCAAAAACCGCAAGAGTTGGAGGAAAATTTCATCGGTGAAGATGCATATAATTTACGACTTTATTCCGTGTTGTTGTACGGCAGCAGGGCATGACGTTTCCGTGTCAGCGTAAGGCTGCCGTCGTTTCCGGGCCGTTTCGAAGTTGGCGCGCTCAGCACGGCGGGCCAATGTTCGGCGGGCGATGGCGGCCATGTTGCTCGGCCGTGGTGCTCTCCCGACTCCGGCGGCGATGTTTGTGCGTGCCTGGCACGACTGCGGTGGTCTCACTGTCGCACTCGCCGCCTCCGTCGTCGCGTGAGAAGGCCCGCGGACAACATCGCGTACGGTACGGATAGCATCCCGACAATATCAGCGTGCCCGTCCAACTTTGCGCGACATGTCAAGTCAAATATGTCTAAAGTGGAACAGTTTCTCAGCAATATCGCAACGAGCTTCGAGAGCCTTTGGGAGGAAGAGGGCCTGGTGGACGTGACACTCGCCAGTGACGGACAGTGTCTGACGGCGCACGAAGGTGATACTCTCGG